AAGTGAAAAAATACGAACCCGAAAACGAGAGCCACAGTAGTATCTGCCGTGATATCAAGTATATCAAAAATGATATTTTTTCGACTTCGACTTCATTCTGAAAAAACCTCTGAATTATCGCGCGCCCAATACGCTCCTCGCCAAAGCCTCATCCCCTTCCTCTTCAAGGATCTCAGCAACGCTTGCTTTCCGACGGGAGTCAAAACCATCCAAAACAGAGGCCGGCAGGAAAAACGGCGGACGCAGGATTCGAACCAGGGTCCGAGCAAGCTCATCAGCGAGGTGAACATCCCCCTGCCAGGTCGAGTCCGGGCACTTCTTCAAAACTCCAAGTAGTCTTTCGACCTCGATTTTCCCAAGATGCACATCGTTCATGATTTTCGTGATGCACTTGCGTGCTATTCCCTCTACCACCCCAGACGGAAGTTTCTCGGGCTCCCACCGAGCCAGCGTCACCTCTGGAGCGATCAATACAGTGTCCACTGGAAAGGGCGAGTCCACGAGAGCACCTTCCTCAATATACTCAAGCAAAACTTCTATCGATTTTTCTATCAGAATGCTCCTACGGAGGCACTGCTGTGCACAGTCAGCCCGCTCCTCACATTGGAACTTGTCGAAGACTTCAGCGAGCGCCAACAACTGCATGTTGTCCATAGACTCGTATCGCACCTTAGCCGTGCATTGCCGCACCCTCTCGACAACCTCATTATCCTCTATACCTTCTTCCTCCACTATGGCAGGCAGAGCCCCTGTGAGGATCTTCCCACTCAGCCCAGGCCACCCACTAGTGAGCAAATACTCGACAATTTCCCTGCAAGGCGCCACATAGTCGCCGGCAATCAATTGCAATACCCAGGCTAACACTACAGCCGCATTGGCAACAGGCCCGCATAGTCTCTCCCGTACAGAGGCGAAATCAGCCCCCCGAAAGGTCCGAAAATCATAGTCTGTCGCCCTTTCCTTGTCCCTATTGACACGCCCTGCCACCGCACAGTCCTCCAGCAGCCTCTCGACGTGCGGGACCAGCGAGCTCCTGATCTCCTCACTCACAGTGGAGGATTCTCCCAAGCAGTCAGCAAGAGTAACGAAGCATTTGAAATACGCAGAGGCAGCTGAGGCCTCTGAGCCATACCGTCCCTCGAACAACAACTGTCCATTCTCATCAACCTGATGCTACCAATTATCGGTGACACGGTCCAAAGCAGGTGTCACCTCTACACTACTAAGGCTCTTCACCAAAGCCGCTACTAACGCGTCCGGACTCCCCACCAGCCGTCGCGATAAGCACACTGTAACAACGTCACAAGCAGCCTCCTGGATCAAACCCATAGACCATGCAACACTATCACCAGTACTACCTGGACACTATACGAGGCTTGCAGTGCTGCTCTTAGGACCGGCACCACCTGCGCTTCATAGGCAGCCAGCCGTGGTAGACTGCTATCAGCAACGACGCTGTATTTCTGCACAACCTGGCAAGGAGGATCCCGCCGCTCCAGACGGTCTGAGGCTGGTCTAAGCCCACTACTAGATGGAGGAGCTCTAGAGAGGCCACGTATAGAGCACTCCAATCTCTGGATGGTCCAACAGTCTTCTCATCAGCTGAATACAGCGATGTTCCCTAGGAGTCACTTCCGAGCACTCCGCGCCCACTTGAATTCGCCAACATGAGTGCTAACTTCAGCACAGCTTCTGGCGAGTTCGTATCCGCTGGGTCGACCTCTACGTTGGCTACCACTACCCCCAAGAGCCGAGCGGCCAGGGCCCGGGCCCTCGGTAGGAGCACAGGTGTCCGAGGATGGCTATCAGGGTCATCTTTAAGAAGCACCAATGCACTACTATACGTAATAGCAGTAGCTCACCATATCTCGTTGTTGCTGCTACTGGACTAGAACCATCCTCCATCACTCGCCCACGCATGACCTCCACAGAAAGGGACCGTCCACGCGCGTTACCACGTGGTGACACGGTCGAGCCGGGCGGTGCCGCACTGGGACTCTGAGAAATCGAGTTACGGGCCCTCAGGAGGCGACCTACCATAGCAAGACCGCCCAAAACGGCCAAGGCCGTCTCCATAGACTCCCTCGGCTGCACATGGCCCATGACTTCCACCAGCCGCTCTATCTCCTCACAGAGGCCCTCCTCTCCCCTCACGGCACTACTACTATACAATTTGACAAGTGCTGGGCCCCATTCGACCGCTCCGACCGGGATGGACTTCTTAGCTAGCTGCAACAGGCACGCAACCGCTTGCCTTCGACAACCGTAATATTCCGACTGTATCGTCTCCCGGCACAGCCGCCTGGGTGTCTCAGGATTGGTCTCGATGCACGCCGCAGAGTACCCTAGTAAATGAGTGGAGACAGCCTCAGAGTCACGACCAGCCATCAGCTCGAGAGCCCGCATCAACGTCATCGACAGGGCCGTAGGAGGGCCCCTTCTGCACGCCTCGAGAACCCGCCCGAGCTGCTCCCAGGCCGCCCGAGAGTCCCAAGACTCCTCCACCATGTGGGCCACAGACAGACCCAACGCCCTCGTCCCTCCGTGGCGTAGCGCCGATAACACTGCGAAACGTAACCCAGGCTTAGTACTGTAGGCCAGCTGCGACTTCGCACGACTAAACTCCTCCCACACATCCACAACGTCCGTGAGGGCATCCACTGCTCGACAGCAGTTCACGATAGTTTCATCACGACACTCTGTGGAATCCACTATTTTCTGGACCAAGGCACGGACCCTCTCAGGGAAAGTGGGGGCTACTGTCACCAACAGCCTCAACAAGGCATTCAACCTAGACACATCCAGAGGCTTCAGCAGGGCTACCTCTACCAGCGTCATCATCTCCTCCGAGCATGCAATCTTATCCTCGCCCTGCACATGCTCGGCCACTCTCGCTAGCGTCCTCAAGAGTACCACTGCACGCAGGTCGTTCGGGATCACGACCTGCGCCCCTTCCTGGACTCCCGAGAAGTCTACTACAGGAAGGCCATCCCTCACAGACCTGACCATCCTCTCAATCGTCTCCAACCGTTTTTCGCTTGATACCACACCAGCCGCAAGAGCGTCCGAAATCGACCGCAGCAACCTACAGGCCTCCTTAACTTCATCACTCGCTCTCTCCATTATGGCCAACACAGCCCCACTAGTTACCCAATCACTCGGTGGAACCCCCAGGGGCTCTTCCAGCTCCCCTAGTGGCAACGACCCCCCATGAGAAGGTACTACTCTACCTCCCACGTCCTCTAACAGGCCCTCCACTACTGCCCCCACTTGCCCACTGTCAAGCACTTCCTCCTTCTCTATGACCTTCCGCAAGGCATCGCAACAGCAACATTTGATTTCGCCCAGTAACCTCAGCCCAGTGTCGGAGCTGCGAACATCAGGCCCCGTCGGGCCATGCAGGAATACCCTCATCCTGTCGGGTATGCCCCGGTCAGCTAAACTCCGTATTAACCTCGGCTGTGAGTCGCTGATAGGTGTCAGCGGGCTCGGCAGGAACTTCAGCAAATTCAGGATTTCGATCAAAAACTCCACTGCTTTCGCTGCCGTCTCCTTCGCCGTTTTAGATGGTTTATCGTCACTGCTCATCACGCTCAGAACAAGAGCCACAACCCGCTGGCCCACCAGCAGGATGACCAAGCGGTCGTTCAAGTGCAGGTCCGCAGTAGAGTCAACCTGCCAACACACAGGAGAGGGACAGTAGGAACCCCTACGAGTACCTCGTCAGCATCACCAAGAGCTGCCGTTGATATTATCCAGTGCTGGAGTTCCGAGATAGCCGCCGACCCCAACAGACCATCTAGTATGCCCAGTAGCTGCTGCAGGCTCGGAAGGAGGACCCATCGGGCCCGGTCAGCCGGGGTGTTGAGGCAGCCTGACGGGCCCTAACCCCACCGCCATGCGCCTCTGCTCACCTTCCACTAGTGTGAGAGCGCAGGCGGCCCTAGGCAGTTCACTAGAGTCCACACCTCCCTCGAGCCACCCTAATGCAGTCTTTAACACCGTCTCCACTACACTTAAAGGGGCCGATGAGACCAGAGCGCCCACTAGCTGACATAACCTGGCCGAAATGACGAAGACTAGGCCAACCCAGTGCAGTGTTGGAGGAATATATGTTCGCTCTCTTCAGCTGAGCTCGGTTTGAGTCCAGTCCGGGTAGAAGTGTACAGAAACCCACGAGAATTTTCCCAAATTTTCTCAAGATTTTCATACTGTCGCCAACACATGTAGTCGACCATGTGCATACTTTCCAACATTGACCCAGTGAAGGGAGTCCCAACATCCGTCCACCCTGGTAGCTTCCATACGATCAATCCCACACTATGAAATCCTATACTACCCAAAACGCTTCCTCCACTCAGTGCCACTATCTCCTCCTCCTCCTTTAAGCCTCCCCACTACCTTCGTCGTAAAGGACGGATCACAGCGCACCACATCGAGCACCTGAGCTAGTCCCTCCCCCTACCAACCCTAGTTCCCACCGGCCCTACAGCCATCAGCGCCTTGCTACCAGCCTCCCCAGTGACACCAGCCTCATCAACTGCATACGCCAAAAGCAGCTCAGTCACCTCACCCCAGTCCTGGTCGAAGTAGACCCCCGGAACCCCTCCTGCCCTAACACACACTTCCACTAGCTTTAGTGTTATCAGCCTCTGGAAGGTAGTCCTAGGGGCCTGAACACAGCCAGAAGATCTGCATAGTCGAAATAAACTCTCCAGTGTACCTCTCGGTCGCGTAGGTCCTCCATAAGAAAGTCGAAGACCTCCCCAGCTAGACCCAGTTCACTCGCCCGCCACACCAATGAGCAACAGCACTTCCCAAAAACTTTCGCATCACCACCGATGCCGTCCACTACTCCCACCATAGACGGGTCCCCAGGAACCTCCAGAAGTGCCCTTAGGATCTCCAGGGGCCTCACAGGGCTACCCTCGTCTAACCCACAGCGCGCCATAGCGACCATCACAGCGGCGTTGTTGGTGTTGCCAGCCGACTTCAACTTTTTACGCAGACTATCCAAACTACTGACCTTCTTGCACAGTACGCCAGCACAAGCAATACTAGACTCGAGATCAGCCACTGAGAGTGGCGCCTTAATAAGGGTGTTCACAATCATCGATCGTATGGCATCCGATAGGGCGTGTGGGAGCAACGCCAAACAGCGGAACAAGGCTGTGCGAACCTGAGGCATTTCTCGTGCAACAATCAAGGCCCAGTGGAGGAGAATATGCACATGGTCAACTCGAGGAAAATTGCGGGGAAATTATTGTGGCTTTCTGTACGTTTCTATACTAAGCCGTATAAGCACCACTTTATTTCTATATAAGCGACCACTTATTCTTCCAACACTGCCAAGGCCCCGCTGACCTCAACACTGGTCTCCTTTTCCGCGAGGTGGTTGACGATACAGTATCGGGCGTCGTCCACTGCACTCGGTTGGTCGTTGAGGAACCCACTACCTGCAGCCGGATCGACCCTAGCAGCTGCAAGGGGCAAATCACTTAGGAGCCTTTCCAGCTGACGAGCGGCGTTCTTCCGGCACTCCACGTGGACCCACACCGACTGCCGACCATAGCGGTTAAATTGGCGACGAAACACTTCAATGATATCACGTCGAACAGCCTTGGTCATGGGCAGCCCCACTAAGAGGTCATCAAAGCTGAGAGTAAAAGCAACAGCGCTCTACCTGTGGTCAAGTCCACTGCGGCCTTCAGCGCCGACATTCGCCTTAGGATCGCCATAGCCCCTTCGCCCTCCTTCTGAGGGGCCTGGGCAGCCTCTAGAAGTGACACACAAGCCGCCTCCAACTCCAATGCGCCCCCTGCACTCAGGGAATCTCGTCGAAACCTGAACAGCGACACAGTGCCGCTGCTGACACACGAAGCGTTAAGCATGCGCCTTCCACGACCACATGGAAATCAGTAGCGAAATAGGAAGCAGCATTGCCTCCATGGCTCACGAGGAGCCTATGAGTGGACCTACGAGGCTTTCAGTGCCGCAGCCGCGAGAGTGTCCACCGCATAGCTCCTCCGTAACGTCCTCTCGCCCATGGTAGAGGTCAACAAGTGCAAGCACAACTGTCGTAGTTGGACCAAAGACGACGATTCGATCTATTCCAAATCTTTTGCATCGCT